ACATCGACGCTGTTCGCGTCAACGGTGGTCAGACCAAAGACGACGTGGTCGAGTGGATCCGCCAGCGGGTCGACGACATCATCGCAGCCCGCTCCACGTGGGGAGCATAGACAACGTCAAATTTATTCATGTTATACGATGCCAGTGTTACTAGAAGTTGACTGCCGGGTGAAAATGGTCTTCTAAAAATTGAATTACCAGACGAACGTGCTTCACTTGCCACACTCTGATCAAGGATACAATGGAAACTAGGTTCCTGGAGTGGGCTGGAAGGAAACCTCTTGTTGAGAGGGAGTGAAACTAATGGTCATGTCTCCCATCGATAGTGGAGTGGGATATGAAAAGATACTGGTCTTCTGAGTGGCGCGTGCCGAGGCTTTGCCCGCGCACGATCTCGGCCTCCGCCCTCTTTTGGGCAGGAGCGCTGGAGCCTGTGTCTTCCGCGTTGCTCAATGAGGTTTGTGCAAGAAAGAACTCTTGCAGTAAGTAGGCAAGGGCCGCACATCAAAAAAAAAAGGGACGAGGAGACAACATCGGCACACGGGCAGAAATGACGTAGCTTGAGCGACACGACGCGATACATAACCACGGATCGAAGCGTGGGCCAAAACTCGGAGGGCCTTGGGGTCGAGGGGGTCCGGGTCTATCCAGATCCTACCGGGACACTTATAGGGCATAGTACCGGTACGCCGCCTTGTTGGCGACAAAACGTTGGGTATCATGCTTGCATGGGATATTGTACCCGAATGCCACTTCATCGTGGCGACAGAAGACGTCTTCCTCCTCGCAATTGAGCATGTCCATCATGGGCGGATCCACCCTAGGGTGGGCCTTGACCCCGGGTGACCCAGGGGTCCTATCGAAAGCCACGAAGAGAGACAGACAGACGGACAGACAGACAGACTAGGCTCCGGGGGAGTGGGCTGGTAAGAACGATGAAATCATATGGATTATGTATTTTAATTGGTGCTAGGCAGACGACCTTATTGCAGAGATGCGTGTGAGCTATCATCACTACACTGT